ATACCTACAATCACTTTCAGAAGTTGTTGGTACACATGTAGTTTTAGATTGTAAGTGGATCATTACAGTTTTTTACACACAATACCACTCCACTCCCCCTCCCTCCACCTCAATCAATGTTGCTCCAACCAAAACACATCAAACCTGACGAGAAATGGGACACAACATTGTACAGGGGGCGGGAGGATTGACGTTTTGTTGAAATTCAAAGGTTTTGTGGCATCTGTCCCAAGACTTTTGAAACTGATTGTCTGAAAGGCAATGAAAGGCATATTTAACCTCTTTGAATTACCGGGTATTTTAGAATATCAGTTTCGCGAAAATCATATAGCATTTAGTATAACATGTTTACTGAATTGCATTGGCATATGTAACGTCCTTACTGTGCTTCGGTTGTGGTCAATATCTTTGAAATGTAACACAATCCAGCAGTGTATTATAAATGAGCTTATACTGAAAGATGTGAGTGTGGGGAGGGTAGTATGCCGAGCGATTAAACCTGGTCTATATGCAAGGGAGAAAACACATCTATCTGGTTAATTATCGACCTAGGTTAATGCTAAATAAAATGCAAAGGTAAGTTATCGAAGACCACTTAAAGATTGTGCATATTTGACATGAAAACATGTATGTAATATAAAACGGCTTGAACACGTGCTCGGTTGTCACTTTGAAACACATAGCATTTTCATTGATATAACTTTCAATTGTCGCGGCATAATCATTTTCAGAACATTAAGTTTAGGTAGCGCGTATTGATATATTACGGGTTCTACTTAATCACAAAGTGTATAAATTGTATAAAATGTATCGATTGACACTCAACTCTAGAAATATCACTATGATATATCAGATTTATTTATGTAAAAAAGTGTCAATCGATCCAAAACTTGGTTTAATCAATTTCAAACCCTTTCACTAATAGCAAATACATTGTTAGACATTCTCAACAGATTATTCTTAGCCTTGTTCTGTTTTAAAAGATGTCTAGTTGCCTGTTATTTCATATTTCTATAGTGACAATCGAAGTGTCAACCGATGTTAGTTTCATTGCATTCGTCTCGTCCGGAAACGCTTATTAGCATAATTAGCGTATAACACTAACGTCAGTGTTGTATAATGCGTACAACGCCGTATACTGCGAGTCCCTTTCGTTACATATTTTTGGAAGCCTGTGCAACTTTCTTGCTTCGGCGGGTCGCGCTAGTACTCGCTAACGCGTCAGCATTGGGGAGGTCTATAAGCCCTGGAGAAATCACCAAGTCCGGGTCTTCCTTTACCACGTACGAATACGCTGAATAGTAATTTTTGAGATTGTCTGCGGAAAGGTTCAATTAAATGCCACATTTACTCTTCTCGAGCTTTCCGATAGCTCGCCACCTCGATCTTGTGGACAATTTTTTTTGCCGTGTGGAAGTGACTACCGCCCATTCCATGAGCCACCGACATTCCCACCTACTTAGTGCTCCTTCCTACCCATGCGTCGACAATTATATCTGCAAATTGTACTCTAGAAAGATGTGAAATGTCACATTGACCATAAGTGATTATAAAGCAAACGTTCTTTACCTTCGGAGTACCCGAATTAGCAGTTGACTCAGCCGTTACCCGCATGCGAAAGTAACCGGATGTTATATTACTATGCTATAAATTAACAGTAAGTGTGACATATCTAGCGTAAAACATTCGCGATACCTATCTTTATATTGACGGACTATATAACCTCTCAAATAACCCACTTGTGCTCTGCCGAAATTTGTAAAAACAAACAACGATTAAGAATGCTATATGACATAACAAGTTATGTTCATATCCTGTTAATTATTAACTTTGAGAATTTTGTTGGAACTTAATTGTTTTAAAATGTTATATTAGATCTTCTGTAAACGAAATGGAGCAGAAATACTTCGTTTGCAGAGGATTCTATCCCGTGTACTTTTGAGATATACAATGGTGTTATGGCATATGGGGCCCAGACAATCACTTTCAGAAGTTGTTGGGACACATATAATTTAAGATTATAAGTGGATCATTACAGTTTTTTACGCACAATACCGCTTCCCTCCCCCCACCCCAATCAATGTTACTCCAACCAAAACACATCAAACCTGACGAGAAATGGGACACAACATTGAACAGGGGGCGGGGGGATTGACGTTTTGTTGAAATTCAAAGGTTTTGTGGCATCTGTCCCAAGACTTTTGAAACTGATTGTAGGTGTATGGGTGGTCATCTCACTGATCTCTAAATATGGCTGTTTGTCAGGAGTGAAGAAGGGGAAAATATAAAAAATACATGTAAAAAGCTCGGAAAATCGTTTCACGTTGGTGTAGTGTACTCAGGTGAATATACGATGCTTGTGATGTTACTGTGAGTGTATATCCACACCGGGCGAGCTTGCCTAACCATGGTGGGAATCGAACCTACGACCTTTGGGATACTAGCCCAATGCTCTGCCAACTGAGCTACGCGGTCTGGTCGGTTCGAGTGTGTGATGTTTCGGAACTGAGTCTAGTTCCTTCGATATTAATGCAATCTAATAATCATGATTTTTTCTGTGTTGGTGTAGTGTACTCAGGTGAATATGATGCTTGTGATGTTACAAGCTCGCACGGTGTGGTTATACACTCAGAGTAACATCACAAGCATCATATTCACAAGAATCATGATTATTAGATTACATTGATATCAAAGGAACTAGATTCTGTTCCGAAATATCACACACTCGAACCGACCTGACCGCGTAGCTCAGTTGGCAGAGCATTGGGCTAGTATTCCAAAGGTCGTAGGTTCGATTCCCACCGGGGCCGGGCATATTTTTCAAGCTCGCCAGGTGTGGATATACACTCAGAGTAACATCACAAGAATCATTTTGTTCAATTATTGAACGTAAACATTTATAAGAATTGATTTAGTATAAGAAATCATAAAGTATAGCCTATACGAATAGGGCAAGTTTGTTTCAATTTTTTATGTGTGACTTTGTATTATATATTATACTGGCTTTGTTCTTGTTGTTCAAGTATTTTCTGTACATTGTATGCGAAAGTTTCTTAGTTAAATTAATTTTTGTAGAGGTTCATGATAAAAAGGAAAGCAAATTATTTTCGTTAGCGTCCTGTACGAATTTGAAATTTATTTCATTTCAAACTTTGAACAAAGTTTAAAGTTGAAGCTCAAGTTGAAGAGTTTAATATCGGCAAAAAGCAGTTAATTTCAATTCACATTTAAAAATGTTTTACGAAAAGTTTCGTTCTGAATTTTACATTAGAATAAAGCCCATAGTAACCAAAATATTATACCTACTTTATATATGTTAGAAATTAATAGTTTTGTATTTAAAAGTGTTCAAGTTTCATCTGTTTTTTTTTGCAGGTTTGTCAGTGCCTTTTTTAAGGAATTTTCACTAGGGGCAAAACAGGGAAAAAAAGCAGAACTAAAAATATGAGCCGTCGAGGCTTGGCGAACGCGCGAGTCTGAAGAGAGATTTTGTAAAACTTTAATTTATTAACTTCACCTATATTTTACTTTAAACAATAACTTTAACTCTTTGTAGCTATAATCGTACAGCTATAACCAGTGGCGTAGCCAGACCTTAATTTTTTTTGAGGGGGGGGGGCGAACCTCACGCCGAAGGCGTGAGACCATCTAGGAGGGTCCGGGGGCATGAACTATCGGGAAAATTTTGAAATCTAGGGTCCCTGAATTGCGATTTCAAGCATTTTGGGGGTGAAATCTAGCAGAATTTCGAAGATTATAAAATACATGGAAGACATGAATTTTTCCAGACATTTCTACTCGGAATTAAATAAATTGGGAAAGTCACCTTGAAAAATTGGAGGAGGGGTCAGTGTCACCTTATTTCCTCTCTGTGATGCTGGGGGGGGGGGGGGAAAATTCCAATGTGATTTTGATCAGAAATGTTGCATTTAAGGTGGCTCGCTACAGTTTATAGAAATGTTGAAAATGCGTAAACTAGATCACCTTTTTGAAGAGATGATGCGCGACAATCAAACAGTCGAAAATTGCTCAGAAATGTGACGTCACCACTGTTGCCACGGCAACAATGACGATCCAAGATGGTCGATATTTTGGCTTTGAACGCATTTTACTTTAAAAAAAGGTCGGTTACCCCCATTTTTTATTTCAGAAAACATTTTCTTATAGTACAATATACTATCTGACCAATTTTAAAAAATTCTGTAATGCCAAATTTTTTAAAAAATTATAAACATGGTTTTTCGAAATAAATTTTTTTTTGCATTACAGAATTTTTTAAAAATTGGTCAGATAGTGCATTGCGCTATAAGAAAATGTTTTCTGAAATAAAAAATGGGGGTAACCGACCTTTTTTTAAAGCAAAATGCGTTTAAAGCCAAAATATCGGCCATCTTGAATCGTCATTGTTGCCATAGCTACTGTGGTGACGTCACTTTTCTGACCAATTTTCGACTGTTTGATTGTCGCTGTATATATAATATACAAATTTCGATTTGTAAAGAGCATCATCTCTCCAAAAAGGTGATCTAGTCTACACACTTTCAACATTTCTATAAACTGTAGCGAGCCACCTTAAATCATTTTAGGTTATATGAGACACCATTTCCGCATTCTCAAAATTGAGTTGCTAGCTTTTTCATACGATACAGAATAAATCTGAGAAGAAATATTCATGCTATAATGATGCATACATGTATTCAACAGCTAAAAATCTAAACTAAAGCTGTTCTTCTTGGAACCAGCATTTTATCGGATTGTTTGCATGAAATCTATCGCTATTATGAAATACTCGGTGAAGAACAATATGAATTACACACAAGATGGCTGTGGGGGAGGCTATGGAAGGGCATAATCTCATTATCAAGTAAATCAACTGCAATTCTGACAGCAATCATGAGCAATTCTGCTTCGCACTTCGGGGGCGGAAATGGCTTTACAAACTGGTTTGCACAAAAAATTTTAAGAAAAATTATCGTGTAGCCATGACTAACACAATCTCGTTCCGAGACCATGCCTGTTCGCAGGTTAAGGGTGGGCATAGCTTTGGAGAAATCGAATTGATTCAAGCCGGTGATTGGCTAGACTTGCCCCAAGTCTTTCTCGAATGGGTTTTGATAGGGTATATCCAGTTTATTATGAGATCAGTCTTGAACTTGAAAACTGATCTCATAATAAACTGGATATACCCTATCAAAACCCATTCGAGAGAGACACTTGCCCCAAGTCTCTGATAGACTTGGGACAAGTCTAGTGATTGGCTAACAGCAGTAGTCGTTGGTTTTCCAACGTGAGTTCTACACATGCTCGGCAATTGTTGCAAAAATATAAACAAAGTATTTAGTATTTATACATATTCAAACTAGCCTCCTCCGCAGGCAACGTAAACTCTATTGTTTTCACTCTACTCTGCATTTTTGGGATTTTTTTTTGGGGGGGAAAGAAAAAAAAGGGGAGAGAGAAGGGAAAGGCTCTCCCCAGTCCTAAAACTATTTCGCTTGAAGCTCGGCCAAAGTTTGATAAGACAATACAGAGTTGCCTGCGGAGGAGGCTATATTAAAACAAAGTACTTATTTATTTCTCGTCGAAAATTTGATACTTTTTACACTGAAGTCGATTGAAAACAACTAAAAATTTAGTTATTAAGTAGCTTCCAAGGGCTTCCAGAGGGAATTGAATAGAATTTATAGACCTAAATTTTACAGATATTGGTAAAAAAATAATGGTTTCATGCATGTTTTAACAGGAATTTGTCCGAAAAAAATTTTTGAACCTTAATTTAATTGGTTTATGTCCGGTTTATGTTTCGCCCCTTTTTTAAATTAAATGTCCGGAAAAATTTTTTTCGACCTAGTTTCGCCCGGCTGCATGTACTTGACCTTTACTGATAAATGTAATCTGGCTCCTCAAGAATGAGAGAATGTTTGGTTTGAAGTGAGAACCTGCGCTTGATGTTTTTAAAACCGGACTAAAGGTTTAAATTCCCTTGACATAAATTTGGATCATTGCCGTTGCTCTTATCTATACTATACATGTGCTTAAAATTTAAATTTTACTAGCTCCTGTCAGAATTTATGATTTTATGGTATACGTAGTATTTTCAGGTATACGTAGTGTTAGGTCCACACTTCACAGCAATATAAAAGGTCCAATACGATGTATACAAACATGATGTAACCTTAAACAGTACAAGTCGAAACGCCTTTGTTTGAAACGTTCGAAGTTTGAAACGTCGAAGAATTTTTCAGGTAGTTGAATCCCTATTAATCCGAAGCTTTCGCACATATTAATTTCCCACAGAATTTTTAGTTGTTTTCAATCGATATCAGTGTAAAAAGCATCAAATTTCCGATGAGAAATTCAAAATACTTTGTTTATATTTTGCAACAATTGCCGAGCATGCGTAGAACTCACGTTGGAAATCCATCGTGAATCAATTCGATTTCTCCAGAGCTATGCCCACAAATGATGCCCACCCTTAACCAGCGAACGGGCATGCTCTGGGAACGTGTTTGTGACTAACATGACGTACGTGAGGAACGCGAGCCTACGTTCAGTATTGGTGTAATTACAAATACTTCATCCCCTTTTATCACTTGATTCTTTTATGTCAGTCTTTTGTATTTTACATTTTTCTATAGGTTGTCCAGAATGTTTTAACAATTCTGCTTGCGGGGTTTCTGAGTACTGTTGCGAACTTCAATATTTGAATGACATCAACGTTTGCCGCAGAAATTGCATCGGAGAATCCTGCCATTCGAATCTCGATTGCGGAGGTCCCGGGGAATGTTGTCGTGGAAACAAATGTGTCCAGTTGAATAATAACTGTGATGAATGCCAAACGAATTCCGACTGCCCAGGTAGAGTATGGTCCTGTATTCTATTTAGATCTGTTTGTATGGTGGCGAGTTACCTATCCTGGTCGAGAGGTTTGTCTCCTTCCTTGTGATTCGTCTTAGTGAAATTGTTCTTCATCTTCTGAAATCCCAAAAGACGTGAACTGATCACATGACACCCAGAATTTCTGTGTGTTTCTTTTGATACGATAATTTGTTTGCGAATTTGCCGAATTGTTCATCTAAATACTTTATTTTAACAGCAGCTGCTGGTGTTGCCCGCTCACTAAATTCTCGATCTATCCCATAATTCAAGTATTAAAACAGTAGAAAGCACAATTTATTTCGTAAAACAATGTGAACATTAATAACAACGTGGTTGACTAATCGCCATCTTGGAAATCTGTTTGTCTGTCCTTTCTCGTTACTATGGTAACTGTCACAACTGCATGATGCAATAGTTCCTATTTAACTAATGTTACATGACGTATTGCTAATGGGCATCCTACACTCACCCCTCCTATAATTTAAGCTGTCCTTATTATCTTTATATATAGCCCAACATTTAACGCTATAGTCTGTACTCATCTTGGCTACTTCTTGGTCAACTGTGTGGGTTGATCAGACTCACAAATATTGAACCTAGACAGTAATCTAAACTAAGTGTTTCTTTATCTTTTCGGGCCCCGCTTTCACTTCTTGTTGGTCAGGAACTTTTCCTGGAAATTTAACTCTTGTAAAGTTTTATTGTTTCTGTTTTCTAACAGTCATTATTCGCAACATGATGGCAATTTCAACAATTTTCGTTTTCTGATTTCGTGACTCTTGATATCAGTGTCTAACACCATATGTTTAATGGCATAATTGGTCCTTGCCAACTTGACCAATATAATGGAAATACAGGTAATGACATAGGAAATATTGGGGGAAAGAACGGTATTGGAGGTGTCGGGAGCACAGGGTATTGGTGTAGATACATGTTGTTTGTGGCAGGTGCATGGACCGCGTTAATACTGGTCCAATGTTCCGTTGGTTGGCCCAGATTGCCATATCCCAGTCTGGTTGGTGGTCGTCGTACTCGTTGTGAACTAACTGGGTGTGAATCAACTTGTGTCTCAGCCTCCGCTGCTACCGTGGTACCAGTCGCCGCTTGACTCTCTTGAGCTAGTTCTTCTGGTGTGGCACCTTCTTGTACAGCTTCCTCAACACTCTGCTGGGCTTCATTTTCAACCGACACTGGCACGAATTCATCCTCTGGGTCTGTCCGCGTTAATTCAGGTGCAAACGTAGCAATCCCGAACTCGTCTTCACTATCTGTCTGATAATCTTGTGTGTCCCTGTTTCTCCTTCTCACTCTTCTTTTTCTTCTTTAACTGAGCTGGTTTCACAATAGCATTCTCCACAGGAAGATACGTACTATGCAGTACTCTTGTCTTCTCCCCGCCACTCTCAGGAATGACTTCATACACGGGAATCTCATTTGATTTCCGACGCACGATTTTGTAAACTTTGTCTTCCCAATACGACCGTAACTTGCCGGGACCACCCCTTTCTTTCACATTTCGTATTAACACACAATCACCGGGTTGTAGACTCGTACTCTTAGCTTTCTTGTCATATTGCACTTTCCCACTCGTAGCGTTCTTTTCTGCCTTTTCAGATGCAAGTTGGTATGCTTCGGACATCGATTCTCGCCATTTCTTGACATATTCAGGATAAGTGCTATGGCCAGGTGGGGGTTTCAGACCGTACATAAGGTCAATTGGCAATCGCGGGGGTCTGCCAAAGAGTAGGAGGAATGGGGAGTATCCTGTCGCGTCATTTCTGGTACAATTGAATGCATGTACGACTTTCTGGAGATGATCACGCCAACGACTTTTGTATTTTTCTGGCAAGGACCGAAGCATTGACAAGAGCGTTCTATTAAATCGTTCAACTTGCCCATTACCTTCGGGGTGATAAGGGGTTGTCCGAGAGTGTTTAATTCCGCTTACTTTTTCCAGGTTAAAGAAAAGTTTATTCTCGAACTCAGCGCCTTGGTCGTGGTGTATCCTCTCAGGGAAGCCATAGCGCAAGATAAAGTCGTTATAGAGCTTGTTTGCAGCGGTCTTGGCTGATTTGTCACGAGTCGCGTAAGCTTGAGCATACCTCGTAAAGTGGTCCATAACAACCAGGATGTATTGATAGCCTCCTACGCTTGTTTCGAGGTGAAGGTAGTCGATAGAAACGTTGGTTTCTTACGGGTTTTCGACTCTTTAAGCAATGACAAACTTTCGTGACGTAGTGAGTTATATCTTGTTTCATGTGAGGCCAAAAAAATCGTTCTCAAGCCAAGTCAATGACGCGTTCAGAACCCAAATGACCCATCTCTTCATGTAACTCTTTATAAACTTGTTGACGTAGACGTCCAGGTAGTACAACTTGACGGACTGTTCCTGCTAGTCGGTACAGAACTCCATCGGTCCCCACTTTTAACTTATTCCATTCTCTTAACAGCTGCTGTACAGTGTGGCTTTCCTGCTTTCTTTCATGAGGAGACAAATACGTGTTCGCTATTTTAAGTGTTATGACGCGGTCAATATCTGCGTCGTCATTCTGTGCTGTCTTCAAATTTATAGATGCTTGGTTTAAACTAACATCCGCTCGAGTAATCTCAGGAGGAAAGAGCAAAGGTGTTTGAAACTGTTCGACCTGTACTTTTGCTCCACAAACAGTCGCTTGGAAAGCGTCGCGATTAACCTCTTCACTGCATGTTTTCATATAATCGTCAATATTCATAGGCATTCTGGACAATGCATCGGCGTCTCCATTGAGTTTTCCTGGACGATAACGGATGTTGAACTTAAAGGCGGCCAGTTCTCCAATCCATCTTAAGCCTGTGGCATTAAGTCGTGCAGATGTTAAAACGTATGTTAATGAATTGTTATCGGTATAAACCGTAAATTCAGGCGCGTAATATAAATAATCACGGAAGTGGTCGGTGATTGCCCAATTGAGTGCCAGAAATTCTAATTTTCCTGCATGGAGGTGATAGTTCTTTTCTGCATTAGTCAGACTCCGAGAGGCGTACGCAATGACTCGCATTGTCTCTTCCTGTTCCTGGTATAAGACAGCACCTAGACCGTCTTTCGAGGCATCAGTGTGCACGATGTAGGGTTTTTGATAATCTGGATATGCCATAACCGAAGGTGTTATCAGATGGTCAATGAGTTTCTCTAACACAGTCTGATGTATCTCAGTCCACGCGATTTTGACTGATGATGGCACTTGACCTTTCTTTCTGGTGTTTTTGTTACCTTTCTCTTGATCATGACACGGGTCTGTTGTTGCTGCTTGTGTAACAAGGTCGTATAATGGTTTAGCCTTTCGCGCGAAATTGGGTACATAACGACGATAGTAACTGAGTAATCCAAGCATTTTCCGAAGATCTCCTATTGTATGAGGAGTATTGTTCTTTAGACTCGCAACTGCGTTAATGTTCTCGGGATCCATTCTGTAGTCATCTTTCGACACTACTCGACCGAGGAATGTGACTTCACGTTTGAACAATTTACATTTTCTTTGCTTCAATTTGACACCGTGTTCTCTTAGGCGACGTAAAACTGTTCGTAAGTGTTCGACATGTTCGTCGAATGTTCTACTAAATACGATCACATCATCCAAATAAGGAATGGCAATTTCATCATGTAATTCTCCTAAACACTGTTCCATGAACCTCTGAAAACTTGCTGGGGCGTGGGGACGTGCGGTTGCTCGCTGGACAATCGATTTTTTGATGAATCGAAAGCAGAGAGTGAAATTATCCAATGACTGTTATTCGGAGTGGGGTGATGTACTCTCCGGTATCCCTCAAGGTACAAAATTAGGGCCCTGGCTATTTTGTTTAATGATAAACGATCTTGATATTTGTGATATATCGAGGTGAAAGTTTGTTGATGACACAACAGTTGCTGAAGTAGTTAGTAAGGACACAGAGAGCCGTGTTCAAGTCGCAGTTGATGTTGTGGAAGATTGGTCGAAGGCAAATGGGCTATCTCTTAACGCTGAGAAATGTAAAGAACTGAGAATCGATTTTAAAAAAATAAAACAACCTTTTGATCCTGTACTGGTGGGTGGAGAAGCATTGCCTATAGTTGAGAGTGCAAAAATATTGGGTCTTGTTATGACAGGCACACTTCAGTGGAAAGATAACATCAGAGAGAGTATAAAGAAAGCTAATAAACGCCTCTATTTTATAGTATTATTGAAACGGGCAGGCGTAAATGTCAAAGATGTTTTGAACTTTTATTGTACAGTGATCAGGCCTGTGCTCGAGTATTGTGCGCAAGCCTTCCATCATTCCATTCCAAAGTATTTGGCAGACGAACTTGAGACTGTCCAGAAACGTGTGCTAAAAATTTTATCTCCTGAAATGACATATTGTGAGGCCCTTGAGTATTATAGACTGCCTACTCTATTTCAAAGAAGAGAGGACATGTGTGACAAACTCTTTACGAGTATCATCAAGGATCCAATGCATAAACTTCATCATCTGCTGCCCCCGAAGAACGAGACTGATTATTCTTTCAGGACGAATCGGTATTTTAATATGTACGTTACACGCACGAACCGCCTTTATAACTCTTTTATCCCTGCTATGTGTAGGAAGTTTGTAGGATAGATTTTATGCTTATTTTAATCGAATTTTGATCGTGGGTGGGTTTTATAATATTGTATTAATAATATTTTATATGTAGTGCATGTGATAATATGTAATCCACGCAATTCAGCTTCTGGCTGCAATGTGGTTTCAATTTAATAATAATAATAATAATAATAATAATAAGACCGAATGGAATTCTTACCCATTCTTATAACCCCCAGGGTGTCACAAATGCTGTTAACGGTCGGCAGGATGGTTTTACAAATCCTTGATGATACGCCTTACCCTGATCCAATACACTAAACCAAGCGTTACCACCTAAACTATCGAGAGTTTCTTGGACGCGCGGAATAGGATGCCTATCTGGCACTGTCTTACGGTTAAGTTCTCTATAATCGACACAAAGTCGCAGAGTTCCATCCTTTTTGCGAATACATACTACTGGGGATGAATAAGCTGATTTTGACTCTCTTATAAACTCGTTATTTACAAATCTTCAATGCACTGTTTCACTTCCGGATAGAGAGGTCTTGGTACCGATACATACAATCCTGGCCAAAAACTTTGTGGACAGTACAAAATTGTAGCAAATTATATAATACATTTAGATATATTGCATAATATCTGTCAAACCCCCACACCCCCATCTCAATGTTGCAGTCCAATATGATATATACAGAGTTGCCGAAGCGAAAACGATTTCAACATTGTTTTGGGGGAGTGGGGGCGTAAGTTATAGCATTAAATCCATCCTAAACGCATATGAGCCTACCTGTCCACATGATTTTGGCCAGGATTGTCTGAAAATTATGTGTTCTTAAAAATTGCTAATTTTTACGTAAAAACGGGTGAAAATACGAGAACTTTTGTTATGATGATATTATTTAGGATATTTGTGATCAATTAATAAGTTTTATGTACAATTTGATTTATTTTATTGTACAGTAGGTATAACCGAGGATATAAATATTGATTTACCTGTGTTACAGGATTTCAGGAGGTATAACGTACAGAAGCACAATCACGTGGAATGCGCGTGATTATATTTATAAATAACTCTATATTTAGTTATGACTTAATTTTAGTATTTGTAACAATATACTATTAATATTGCAATATGGCTGCGGTAGATACAGGAAGCAGTCTCCGTAGTTCAGCAGTAAGAAGCGTATACTTAGTAACTTATAGTCGAGCTGATTTGAGCAAATTTCCGAACCGAAGAGATTTTGCTGAAGCACTCGTTACTTCGTTTGAGAAAGGTTCTGCTAAAGTGAAGCACTGGTGTTGTAGCAGAGAAAACCACGCGGATGGCGCTAAACATTATCACATGGTGTTGAAATTGCATAAGTCACAAAGATGGCTGCAATCCAAGAGGTTTCTCGAGGAAAATTTTGCCATAGAGGTAAATTATTCGAGTAATCATCATAACTACTACAGTGCTTGGCGATACGTCACAAAGGAGGACAGTAGCTATGAAGAAAGTGAATCACACCCAGATCTTAATAGCTATAAAGAACCGAAGACCACCAACGCGAGCATGGCCAAAATACAAACTGGTCAAAAACGCAGTGCCGCAGTGCAGGGGAGAGGAAATGTATGTAGAGGAAAGAAGCGATCTAAAAAAGAAAAGCAAAAGCGTTTGACCGCATTTGACGTCTCTGAAGTCATTCTTAAAAGAAATATTAAAACAATGACAGAGCTACACGCATATGCTCACGAACAAAGAGAGGAGGGAAAGACAGACTTAGTTCAGTTCATCTTGTGCAAACCACCCAAAGCAATTCAGGACTTGCTAGACACTACTTGGCGCATGAAAACTGCCAAGGAAGTATTAGAACGATGTAAGAAAAGTCGAATGGAATTGTTTAACGAGGCGTCAAAGCAAGATTGCCGAGCAGGATGTAACGGTGTCTGGCTTCAGTGCGCAAAACAGATTCTCGAGAACAATGGAATCGATAAGAGGAAATTTGGGCAAGCGGTTGTTGACCTATTAAAAAAGGACGTGGGAAGCATCGCAATCTCATGATCGTTGGTCCAGCCAACTGTGGTAAAACGTTTATTTTAAAGCCATTGACTGAACTTTATAAAACGTTTTTAAATCCCGCTTCGGGATCGTTTGCATGGGTTGGCGTGGAAGAAGCGGAGTGCATTTTTTTAAATGATTTTCGGTGCAGCCCGACGTTGATACCATGGCACGATCTGTTGTTAATGTTAGAAGGGGAGTTGGTTCATTTGCCCGCGCCTAAAACGCATTTCGTCCGAGACATCGAGCTGGTCAAAGATACGCCGATATTTTCCACCAGCAAGAGGCCATTAATCTTTATCAAAAATGGCACTGTGGATGATCGGGAATCAGAAATGATGGCCGTACGCTGGAATATTGTATCATTCAATTTCCAAATTCCACAAGATCAGCAACGGAATATACCACCTTGTGTTCGCTGTTTTACGGACCTTTTATCAGCAACTGAATCAAGCCTCAGTTAAACACGTAGACTGGTATCATATTTCCTTATGTTATGAAGCCATATGCTATAAATGTATACCACGGTCTACAGACACGGTCTACAGTCAGTTGAAGTGCTTTTCAATGTTTTTTTTCACACTGGAGAAAAAAGTATTTAAACTAATTTATTCTTCAATGTGTTAACCTGATTAAAGTCTTACGGTTAATGTAATACACAGTTTGGGAAAGGGCGTATATCTCAAATCACCACGGTCTACACATAAAATGTGCTATTCTTGAATATTAATGAGATCTTGCTAAATTGTTATTAAGGCTAATCTATTTGTGTGTAGTCCGTCGTAAAATTTTCATTTTT